ACTCCGTTGTGTCCTCCTCCCAGAGTGTGAAGAGCCTTGGCGTGACCCTGGACAACACCCTGTCATTCTCCGCTAACATCAAGGCGGTGACCCGATCCTGTAGGTTCATGCTCTACAACATTCGGAGAGTACGACCCTGCCTTACACAGGAAGCGGCACAGGTCCTAATCCAGGCACTTGTCATCTCCCGTCTGGATTACTGCAACTCGCTGTTGGCTGGGCTCCCTGCCTGTGCCATTAAACCCCTACAACTCATCCAGAATGCCGCAGCCCGTCTGGTGTTCAACCTTCCCAAGTTCTCTCACGTCACCCCGCTCCTCCGCACACTCCACTGGCTTCCAGTTGAAGCTCGCATCTGCTACAAGTCCATGGTGCTTGCCTACGGAGCTGTGAGGGGAACGGCACCTCCGTACCTTCAGGCTCTGATCAGTCCCTACACCCAAACAAGGGCACTGCGTTCATCCACCTCTGGCCTGCTGGCTCCCCTACCTCTGCGGAAGCATAGTTCCCGCTCAGCCCAGTCAAAACTGTTCGCTGCTCTGGCACCCCAATGGTGGAACAAGCTCCCTCATGACGCCAGGACAGCGGAGTCACTCACCACCTTCCGGAGACATTTGAAACCCCACCTCTTTAAGGAATACTTGGGATAGGATAAAGTAATCATTCTACCCCTTCTCCCCCGATTGCTCAGTTTGGCTGGGCAGCCAGCTCTAGGAAGAGTCTTGGTGGTTCCAAACTTGTTCCATTTAACAATGATGGAGGCCACTGTGTTCTTGGGGACCTTCAATGCTGCAGAAATTGTTTGGTACCCTTCCCCAGATCTGTGCCTCGACACAATCCTGTCTCGGAGCTCTACGGACAATTCCTTCGACTTCATGGCTTCGTTTTTGCTCTGACATGCACTTTCAACTGTGGGACCTTATATAGACAGGTGTGTGCCTTTCCAAATAATGTCCAATCAATTGAATTTACCACAGGTGGACTCCAATGAAGTTGTAGAAACATTTCAAGGATGATTAATGGACACCTGAGCTCAATTTCGAGTCATAGCAAAGGGTCTGAATACTTATGTAAATAAGGTTTCTGTTTTGTATTCTTTATACATTTGCAAAAATGTCTAAAAACCTTTTTTCGCTTTGTCATTATGGGGTATTGTGTGTAGACTGATGAGGAATTTTTTGTATTTAATACATTTTACAATTAGGCTGTAATGTAACAAAATGTGGAAAAAGGGAAGGGGTCAGAATACTTTCCGAATGCACACTACCGGTCAAAAGTCTTAAAACACCTACTCATTCAAGGGTTTTTCTTTATTTTTACTATTTTCTACATTGTAGAATAATAGTGAAGACATAAAAACTATGAAATAACATATGGAATCATGTAGTAACCAAAAATGTGTTAAACAAATCAAAATACATTTTATATTTGAGATTCTTCAAATAGCAACACTTTGCTTTGATGACAGCTTTACACACTCTTGGCATTCTCTCAACCAGCTTCATGAGGTAGTCACCTGGAATGCATTTCAATTATCAGGTGTACCTTCTTAAAAGTTAATTTGTGGAATTTATTTCCTTCTTAATGCGTTTGAGCCAATCAGTTGTGTTGTGACAAGGTAGGGGGGTACACAGAAGATAGCCCTATTTGGTAAAAGACCAAGTCCATATAAGAACAGCTCAAATAAGGAAAGAGAAAACGACAGTCCATCATTACTTTAAGACATGAAGGCCAGTCAATACGGAAAATGTCAAGAACTTTGAACGTTTCTTCAAGTGCAGTCGCAAAAACCATCAGGCAATATGATGAAACTGGCTCTCATGAGGACCGCCACAGGAATGGAGGACTCAGTTACCTCTGCTGCAGAGGATAAGTTCATTAGAAATTGCAGCCCAAATAAATGCTTCACAGAGTTCATGTCACAGACACATCTCAACATCAACTGTTCAGAGGAGACTGTGTGAATCAGGCCTTCATGGTCAAATTGCTGCAAAGAAACCACTACTAAAGGACACCAATAAGAAGAAGAGACTTGCTTGGGCCAAGAAACACGAGCAATGGACATTAGACCGGTGGAAATGTGTCCTTTGGTCTGGAGTCCAAATTGGAGATTTTTGGTTCCAACCGCCGTGTCTTTGTGAGACACGGTGTGGGTGAACGGATGATCTCTGCATGTGTATTTCCCACCGTAAAGCATGGAGGAGGAGGTGTTATGGTGTGGGGGTGCTTTGCTGGTGACACTGTCTGTGATTTATTTAGAATTCAAGACACACTTAACCAGCATGGCTACCACAGCATTCTGCAGCGATACGCCATCCCATCTTGTTTGGGCTTAGTGGGACTATCATTTGTTTTTCAACAGGACAATGACCCAACACACCTTCAGGCTGTGTAAGGGCTATTTTACCAAGAAGGAGAGTGATGGAGTGCTGCATCAGATGACCTGGCCTCCACAATCCCCCGTCCTCAACCAACTTGAGATGGTTTGGGATGAGTCAGACCGCAGAGTGAAGGAAACGCAGCCAACAAATGCTCTGCATATGTGGGAACTCCTTCAAGACTGTTGGAAAAGCATTCCAGGTGAAGCTGGTTTAGAGAATGCAGAGAGTGTGCAAAGCTGTCATCAAGGCAAAGAGTGGCTATTTGAAGAATCTCAAATATAACATATATTTTGATTTGTTTAACACTTTTTTGGTTACTACATGATTCCACATGTGTTATTTCATATTTTGATGTCTTCACTATTATTCTACAAAGTAGAAAATAGTAAAAATAAAGAAAAACCCCTTGAATGAGTAGGTGTTCTAAAACTTTTGACCGGTAGTGTATATCATGTATTTAATTAATAAAAATGTGAGAACAATTTCCCTCCATTACAATGGCCCTCTCCGGCAACATCACAGTTACCTCATGAAGGTGTGGGATAGTCTAATCATGACATTGACAGACAAGCTCCTAAACCTGTCATGAAGAGTCATATACTGTATGCCAGTGGTTCCCAACCAGGGGTACTAGGACTTGGCCTATCCACAGGGGATACTTGAGAAGACTCATGAGACCATAGGCCTACTGGTAAAATGCACATGAGGGGGTACTTCAGGGGTACTCCGGGCAGAGCAAGATTCAGTTGGTAGTACAGTAACTGAAAAAGGTTGGGAACCACTGCTGCTGTATGCAACCCTACTTTACTTGTTCCCTTATCTTACCAACAAAATCAATTCACCTCCAGCAAAACACTTGTATAATTCTCTTAATTCTTTGGAAATGCCAATTGGAAAACAGCCTTAGATTTCCGCATCTGCAATGATGCCTCCTACTGGCTATGGGATTGCATAGCATGCTTCAGCACTCTCCTTATTAACATTTAGATTTGAAAGGACACGTCAGTCCCTCTGGTTCAGGGGAGAAGTCAAACTCCAAGAACAAAGAGAGGCTTCAAGCAATGTCTCTAAATTCAAGGTCTGTACCAGAATAAGACAGGGTCGTGTGGGGTAGAGAGGATAGAACACACAGAGACAATAAAGTAAATCAAGAGTAAAGTGAATAAGAAACCAATTTTGAGATGTGTGTATTAAATAATTCCAACAGAGGGGTTATGACAGACTGGAGGTCAGAGTTCATCCAGGAAAATTGAGTCCTCCGATTGGTCCATGGGGATTCTACAGACAGTCTTTATGTGAGGCTTGACAATCCCATTGGTCACGAGACACCATTACTCATCATCAGTGTCTCAGAGTCAGAGTCAGGCCACAGAGGCAGTTGGACACATGGAAGCAGAACTGACTAAAACACAAAGCAAAGCACCACAGTATATGAGGCCAGGCCCGGGGTATTCAAACTCTGCCCAAACACGATCACATGGCACAGAATAGTGAGGGCCGGATGCCACGAGGCAGGCCTTCACAGAGAGGAGTAACACATCTGTAATAAGAAGAATTACCCCAGAATAAATTACAGTCACAGAACAATCGTTGAAAGAAGCAGAACTCTAGAAATCAGCGGATCTAATCCGACTGATTTAACCCATGCATTATAAGGCATTAACCAAACATTTGTTACTGACATCACACAATTTCATAGTGACTATACATACAAATGCTGATCTGTAAAATGTAGTTTTTAAAAAAGAACCAAAAACATTATCTGATTGACTGGTTTATGCAAAAACCTATTCTTAAACCATAGATGCAATTTGTTGGGAATCGGAGTCGCATGGTGGGGATTGGATCAATATCTGCAATCCCATTGTACCTATTGATCTGCAGATAGACGAATGAAATTGATTTTCTGAGGTAGACAATGCAGGCATATTCCATTCTCCCAATCCAAAGATATTCTACGATGGGGAAGGTAATTTGGCCCATTTTTAGACTAGGCGCCCAACTCTGGCTCATTTAGCCAATGGTGCTACTGCTTTGTAACATAGTGATCCATCTATCAGTCTGCTGACTGTCAAACCAGAGCTGTACTTACGCTGTCCTACCAATGGGACACCCGTGGTGATGGATATCAGAAATTACAGTCCCGGGAATAGACAGAGACATCAGTTTGTAGACCGTACAGCACTTAAACACTAAACTGTTGTTGCACTGATGGGGAAAGTATTCACACAGGGCAGGTTTATTGAGTTTGCCAGCCACTGTAGAGTGCCCATACAATATAACCCAACTCCAATACATTAATTTGCCTTCCCCGCTTCCTTTATAAGGCCATTACAATCTTTAGGTTCCCCTCACTAAACAAACATGACACTTTCAGCAGAACTTGGGAGCCAAATCCAATACCAATATGAACAGGTCTTGTGTGGAGGAGATGGGTACAGAGTGGTACTGTTGAGGAAGCAGCTGTGGGATCAGTGAAACAATGCTTGTCAGCAGATAAAGTGTCAGTCAATGATGCGATGATAATGTTATAGCAAATACAAACAAAAAGTTAAAAGCAGGACTGGGATCAGGTGGGTGATGACAGGTGAGCTGTGTTATCATCATCATCATCATCATCATCATCATCATCATCATCATCCCTGCCTCCTCCGCCAACTTGAACTCTGTCCTTCAGACCAATCAGACAGAAGCAGATAGGCAGAGCGACAGGGTTTCCCAGGGGAGGTGGCAGGAGAGGGCATCTGACCCCGAGTGACCTTTGGGGAAGGAAGTGTCACTATAGTGTTCTGATGGCCACGGGGTAGAGCAGGGACATGTGCTCGGCCCCCTTGATGGGCAGCTTGCGGCTGGAGTAGAAGTGGATGATCTCGGGGACACTGATGAAGGGACAGCTGTTTTGACCCAGGATGTACTTGTTCTCCTTCGTCCTCGACAGCTTCATGTGCATGAAGCCCTGGCTGCTCCTAGATGGAGAGAGAAAACAATATTTCAGCTCTAAATATTATGAGTGCTTTATCTCTCAGCGGTACAGTGTGACAGATCATTCCCAGGTGATGCAGTAAAGTAGGGCTGGTTTAGAACCCAGGTCACATACTGCATGCTCCTAAGTAAGGGTAAATCGAGAATGCTACAGGTCTAATGAGCTGCCAGGAAGAATCACTTAGGCTACACCAGTTAATAAATGCAGAGCAAATGAAATGCTCCCTGGGCTGTGCTCCCTACAGTATTTCTAGGCCTGAGCCGGAGCCTTGGATCTGTGTGCTTTACAGCTCTTAAGTAATCTCCTGCTCCGGAGCCTTGTCTTAATGAGAAATGTGGCTGTATAAAACCCATTATGCTGCACTGGACAGAAGCTGCAGGCAGGAGGGCAGTGACACAGGCCTTTGCTCACATAGGAGAGGGAGAGGAGAGAGGTCAGAGAGAGGAGGAGAGCTCGAGAGAGAGAGGAAGAGGACAGAGATGACAAAGAGAAGAGAAGAGGAGAGGGGAGAAGAGAGAGAGAGAGAGAGAGAGAGAGAGAGAGAGAGAGAGGAATAGACGAGACAGCTAGTGAGACGTGGAGGAGAGACGAGTTAGAGGTAGCTAGGACAGTTCAGGAGACATTATAGAGCCTTTTCGAGCAGAAAGCATCAGGTTAGTGTCAAGCACTGAGCACACACTGACTCATGGTCCCAGATAATGTTTTTTCTTCTGTTTGCATTGTGCAATGCCCAAGATACTGCAGATCAGCTCACCCAGAGGACTTACACAGTTAGGAAAATTATATATGCAATATTTAGCAGAGCAGGTGTCCCCTCTCCTGTAAACAGAAATAAAACAGTGGAATAACAACCAGTGATTGACTGTACTGCCTTCCTGTTCCCATAAGAAGGGAGTGGAATTCAAAGACAGAAATATGTTTTCTAAGCCATTCTGTGTGTGTGTGTGTGTGTGTGTGTGTGTGTGTGTATATATGTGTGTCCATTATCAGCAGAAAGCACAAATTGCTGGGCATCTTAAATGAGATGTCCTTACTTCCCTTATCTTATAATTGCATTGGAAAAGCCTGAAGCCATATTATCTCACTAAGACACCAGCAGAAACAAAGCCATGCAGAGAACACCAACATTAGGATCAAGGGGAAATGTAACAGGTTCAATTAAGGGACAATAACCATTAAAAATGACATTTCTCAAAACATCAGAGGCATATACTTATTGTAAGTCAAATCTTTCATCAGTTCATGAACCAAGAGATAAAACCCTAGTGTGACATGGTGAAACTAGTAAGGACCAATGCAGATGAAGGACAGTCAACATGAATTCTCTCATATCTTCTATTCAACACATTGCTGCTGTAAGACTGGCAAGTCACCGCCTTGACATATGTAGTTGCTGCATTAAAAGTATGGTTAGAGATGGGAAGATAGAAGGAGAGAGGAGTCGGAGAGGGGGAGACAGAGACAGTAAAAGAAACGAGGGAGATTGAGAGCATCTAGTGTGAGGAGACGTGGATGATCGTTTTATAAGAGAGCTGAGGGAGAGGACTGCAGGGTTTCTCTGCTGCTATAAAAGTGAAGTAAATACAGCTAGCTTCAGCCTCCTCCATTACTGCGCCTCATCACCCAGCCAGCTCCTCCATTTGAATACATCTCTGTCATTACCAGGATGTTAATCAAATCAAATCAAAGTGTATTGGTTGGAGTATAGGATAACATATATCACTAGTCACAGAGCCTGTTCACTGCCTACATCCCAAATTACACCCTGTTCCCTATTTACTGCACTACTTTTGACCAGGGCCCATAGGGCTTAGGCCAAAAGTAGTGCGCTATATAGGGAAGTAGGGTGCCAATTTGGGATGTAGTCACTGTGTTGCTGCTTCTTAAGCTGGGCCAGGAGAGGAAGGGCCACTCTGAAGGCAAAGTGTGATCGATTCATCAACAGTTTGAGGAGACAGGCCTTGGGTTACATGGGCACACCACTTAAAAAGCTAAACACATCAATAGGAACATTTTAAAATCCCCCGAAGATTTCCTTCCCCGTCAGCGTTTAGCTATGCTTATCGCGTTTCAGCTCCGTGGAGACTCAGAGACAACGGAGCAACAGACCACTACTCACTGCTGTCTGATAACAGAAATGTAGGGCTATTTTTGACAAGACTGGGCCTTTTGTGTTTGTTATCATATCCTATTTAGTTGTGCGCTTTTATTGTCTAATCTGGATTCATTTCACTCTGGAGGAGTGTCCTGGTGTCCTGTTCACCGGGGTCTATGACTTTCACTTGAACCCTCATCCTCACAGCAGAGAAATAGAGACAGCAATCCTCGTTTATCTCCAACTCTCATATATTAGACTGAACTATGAATTATGCTTCAATGCAATAAATCTGTGGCATCAGAGAAGCCACATTCACCCAACAGAAGATAATGATCCAGAAAGAAAGCAATGACTTTATGAAGCATTGTGGGACAGGAAATGTCCTGAATAGCTATTCTTCTGGTTTAATACGTACTGTGGCAGCCACAAACAGAGCGTGTCTGACTGGAAGGATTACTAACACGATCAGGACATGATCACACCTGTTCCTCATGGTTTAGAGTGATTTAAAAAACAAGAATGTGGTTGGTGGTTCTCATAATAGGTCAACTACACTGCTCAAAAAAATAAAGGGAACACTTAAACAACACAATGTAACTCCAAGTCAATCACACTTTTGTGAAATCAAACTGTCCACTTAGGAAGCAACACTGATTGACAATAAATGTCACATGCTGTTGTGCAAATGGAATAGACAACAGGTGGAAATTATAGGCAATTAGCAAGACACCCCCAATAAAGGACTGGTTTTGCAGGTGGTGACCACAGACCACTTCTCAGTTCCTATGCTTCCTGGCTGATGTTTTGGTCACTTTTGAATGCTGGCGGTGCTTTCACTCTAGTGGTAGCATGAGACGGAGTCTACAACCCACACAAGTGGCTCAGGTAGGGCAGCTCATCCAGGATGGCACATCAATGCGAGCTGTGGCAAGAAGGTTTGCTGTGTCTGTCAGCGTAGTGTCCAGAGCATGGAGGCGCTACCAGGAGACAGGCCAGTACATCAGGAGACGTGGAGGAGGCCGTAGGAGGGCAACAACCCAGCAGCAGGACCGCTACCTCCGCCTTTGGGCAAGGAGGAGCAGGAGGAGCACTGCCAGAGCCCTGCAAAATGACCTCCAGCAGGCCACAAATGTGCATGTGTCTGCTCAAACGGTCAGAAACAGACTCCATGAGGGTGGTATGAGGGCCCGACGTCCACAGGTGGGGGTTGTGCTTACAGCCCAACACCGTGCAGGACGTTTGGCATTTGCCAGAGAACACCAAGATTGGCAAATTCGCCACTGGCACCCTGTGCTCTTCACAGATGAAAGCAGGTTCACACTGAGCACGTGACAGACGTGACAGAGTCTGGAGACGCCGTGGAGAACGTTCTGCTGCCTGCAACATCCTCCAGCATGACCGGTTTGGCGGTGGGTCAGTCATGGTGTGGGGTGGCATTTCTTTGGGGGGCCGCACAGCCCTCCATGTGCTCACCAGAGGTAGCCTGACTGCCATTAGGTACCGAGATGAGATCCTCAGACCCCTTGTGAGACCATATGCTGGTGCGGTTGGCCCTGGGTTCCTCCTAATGCAAGACAATGCTAGACCTCATGTGGCTGGAGTGTGTCAGCAGTTCCTGCAAGAGAAAGGCATTGATGCTATGGACTGGCCCGCCCGTTCCCCAGACCTGAATCCAATTGAGCACATCTGGGACATCATGTCTCGCTCCATCCACCAACGCCACGTTGCACCACAGACTGTCCAGGAGTTGGCGAATGCTTTAGTCCAGGTCTGGGAGGAGATCCCTCAGGAGACCATCCGCCACCTCATCAGGAGCATGCCCAGGCGTTGTAGGGAGGTCATACAGGCACGTGGAGGCCACACACACACTACTGAGCCTCATTTTGACTTGTTTTAAGGACATTACATCAAAGTTGGATCAGCCTGTAGTGTGGTTTTCCACTTTAATTTTGAGGGTGACTCCAAATCCAGACCTCCATGGGTTGATAAATTTGATTTCCATTGATAATTTTTGTGTGATTTTGTTGTCAGCACATTCAACTATGTAAAGAAAAAAGTATTTAATAAGATTATTTCATTCATTCAGATCTAGGATGTGTTATTTTAGTGTTCCCTTTATTTGTTTGAGCAGTGTATATTGTACAAAACATAAATCTGTGTTGTTGTTGTGTTTCATTTGGGAACCATTCCAGTTGTGCTAATATCCAAGAACAAAACATTCATTAATAAAACACATTGAACTGTGCACTGAACTGCACGCACACTGAACCGCGCACTCCACCACAAACTGGGAGAGCCCTCACTGGGAGAGCCCTCACTGGGACAGCCCTCACTGGGAGAGCCCTCACTGGGAGAGCCCTGTGTCTCTCACAAGAAAGACAAAAAGAGGAGGAAACTTTTCTGAGACACTTTTGCCTCTCCTGGCATGAGTTCAGTTGCCAACGCAAAGAGCTTTTGTTGTTCTTTCTACAGTTCCAAGGCTTTCTAGTTTCCCATGTGTTATAGCATCAACACATTTTGTTGCATAAATCTTTGTTTTCCTCTTTCATCAACGGTTTATTTTCTACCTCAGTCAGCCCGTAAACCCGGCTGCGTAAAACCTCTCCCTGGGGTGAGGAGGCAGAGCTACGCCACTCAGAGACTAGTGAAAGGTTAAATGTGTTTTATGCACCGAAAAGAGCACTCATCTTCAGAGAGAGGAGGAGAGAGAGAGTGGGAGAGAAAGAGAGAGAGAGAGACAGAGACAAACGGAGACAGAGACTAGGTACCATCTCTCCCTGTCAAAAGGCTCTCGAGACTCATGGCTAGTGAAAGTCTGGGCCTTCATCAATGATGCAAAGCACAAACGTGCCACCGAACGGGCCTCATGAATATTTCAGCAGCTCCAGACATGGAGTATCTAAACACAGGGTCTCCAGCCCCTGCCACAGAGGCTTCTAGGAAGCAGGAGAAGGAGGAGGCTCCAACATGATCAGACTGAACTCTGTCACCTCCTCCCCACTGCCGGCTACATGAATCAACCTGCTGATTGTTTACTGGGTTGATCTTAATGACCCTACAGCCTCCTCTGCTTCCTACCAGTACTGCACAACAAACACAGTCAAGCTGGCAGGACACAGGCACATGATCCACCACACACACCAGAGAGCTGTTTAGAAATATCTGCCTTCCTGCCTTTGCCCTGGGTGGATGACATCTCCACTGATCTGTGCAGGAGGTCCAACAAAGAGAGTGTTGTAAACAGCCTTTTACACAACTATGATTTATGGTTCGCAAACCAATTGGTCTCACAAGCACACAGACACGGAACAATTAGTTCCATCACTCCTTTCTGGAACTGACACAATTAGTCCCATTATTCCTGGGATGGACATTGGTGATCCTAGACGCACTCAGAAGTCTATGTGTTTGAACTTTGAACTCAGAGTCAATATGACTTTCTACCACTATGACTGGCCATGGAGGCAGCCGGACTGACAGGGTCAGAGGTTCAGTCCTGCTGGCTGAAAGGTCACCGTGTGTGGGCTGACTGAGAAGGACAGCTCCTACTGGGGATCAATAACACTCCTCTCCTCCACCCCCTCAGACACAGCATGGGATGTGTCATAGTGGGCACCCCGCCGGTCGCCACCAGTCTCCCCAAACAAACCCCAGCCCCAGCCCTGTCTGTCCAATAAGGCCTACCTGCCTACTGCACCAGACAGTCCAACCAATGGCCCAGCACTGTCTGTCCAATCAAGCCCACCAGTCTAATTCCCTGTGTGTCCCCAGGCAGGCCAGAGCAGAGTTCCAGAGCTCTGGTAATGAAATCAGCAGTCAGTGTGAGGAGCAGTGGAGCAGCTCTGGCCAGCATCATCTCCTCCTGCCAGCAGAGATGAGCCTAAAGCAGACTGACAAGGAACGTCCTCGGCCCCAGCAACTGTTTTTCCCCCTGCTGCAATGTATCTAATCTATCACTGACTTATCGACAGATATGTGCTTTATTGTGAATAATGTGCAGAAAATTATCTATATAAAAAAAAAGAAGCTCATAACAAAAGAGCATAAATGGCAGTTTCTATCTGAAGAAAGGTGACAATAATACTGTAGAACTGTCTTCCATGGCCATAACTCAAGCAGTTATCTTCTCTGCAGCTCATATCAGAGGCACTTCCTCTGCCCCTGTGGTGAAATGGTTTTCTCAGCCAGGTATTGCTGTGTGCTGGTGAAATGGCAGCCCGCTGACACTCATCAGTTGGCAGCCTCCCTGCGGTAGTGTGAGCTCTCAGAACCTCTGAGTTGATGGGATGTGACTGCCCTGTGGATGTGAGTGCCCGCTGTGCAGCGAGACCCTTTAAGCTACCCTCCAGCCAAATGTCAGACCAGACTAAACAATCAGGGCCTGTCCCCTGGACCCACTGCTGGCCCGGAGACAGGTCACAGTCAGGGGGCAGAGGTCAGCCAGTGGGGCAATTTGAACTCAGTTCTGGGCAAGTCAGCGAATCAGAGCACCAACAGGGCCAGAGAGGTTACCTGGTGGAGGTGGGAGGGCATCATGTAGGAAGGACAGGGGTCTTAAAGGTGATGTGCATTACCATACTGAACAAACTGAGTCAGCAAGTAGGTAGGAGGTGAGGAAGACTCCTGGAGGCAGAATAATGGTGCTGTACTGTGTGTTGAACTGGTACTCGATCTATAGAACTATACTCTATGATAACCTGTGAACACCCTCAGTGAAGTGTGTGTGTCATACTGTAAATAGTGCCTTCAGAAAGTATTCATACCCTTGTCTTATTCCACATTTTGTCGTGTTACAGCCTGAATTCAACATGGATTAAGTTGATTTTATTTCTCACCCATCTACACACAATACCCCATAATGACAAAGTCAAAACATGTTTTTAGAAATGTTTGCAAATGTATTGAAAATGAAATATCTAATTTACATAAAGTCAATCCTTTGTGGAAGCACCTTCCATCTTTCCACTGATTTCCAATGGGATTCAAGTCTCGGCTTTGGCTGGGCCACTCAAGGACTTTCACATTCTTGTTCTGAAGCCATTCCACCGTTGCTTTGGCTGTATGCTTGCGGTCATTGTACTGTTGGAACGTAAATCTTCGCCCCAGTCTAAGGTCATTTGCACTCTGAAGCAGGTTCTCATCAAGGATTTTCCTGTATTTGGCTCCATTCATTGTTCCCTCTATCATTACCAGTCTCCCAGTCCCTGCCGCTGAATCGCATCCACATAGCATGATGCTGCCACCACCATGCTTCACAGTAGGGATGGCGTTAGACAGGTGATGTGCCTGGTTTTCTCCATACATAGCGCTTTGCATTCAGGCCACAGAATCTTTTGCCTTTTGATCTTAGTCTTTCATGTCCCTTTTTGCAAACTTTAGGCGTGCTGTCATGTGCCTTTTTCTCATGTGTAGCATATGGCCACTCTACCATAAAACCCAGATTGGTGAAGTACTGTAGAGACTTGTGCTTCTGGCAGGTTCTTCCATCTCAGCCAAGGAACTCTGTAGTTCTGTCAGAGTGGTCATTGGGTTCTTGATCACCTCCCTGACCAAGGTCCTTGTTGCCCGGTTGCTCAGTTTGGTCGGACGGCCAGCTCTAGGCAGAGTCTGGGTAGACTGTGGTCTTGGAAACTTTCAACACTCTAGAAATTGTTTTATACCCTTTCACAGAAATACTGTTTGCCACATCACAATTCTATCTCGGAGATCTATGGACAGTTTCTTCGACTTGATGGTTTAGTTTCTGCTCTGACATGCACTGTCAACTGTGGGACCTTATATAGACAAGTGTGTCCAAACAATTGAATTGGCCACAGGTGGACTCCAATCAAGTTGTAGCGACAGCTCAAGGATGATCAAAAGAAATTGGATGCACCTGAGCTCAATTTGGAGTGTCATAGCAAAGGGTTGTGAATACTTACGTAAATGAGATTTTTCTGTATTTCATTTTCAATAAATTTGCAAAAAGATTAAAACGTGTTTTCACTTTGTTATTATGGGGTATTATGTGGATTAAATCAAAATGGATTAAATCTATTTAATAAATGTTGAATTCAGGCTGTAACAACAAAATGTGGACTAAGTCAAGAGGTATGAATACTTTCTGAAGGCACTGTAGGTACTGGGTGCTGTATGTTCTCTAGTGTGTGAGAGGGTGGTGTGTCAAAACTGTACACTGTTACTTGTGTTTAGTGGACAGTATGTATAGGAAGGGTCTTACTTGAGTGAGAGGGAGAAGTCGTTCTTGCTGGTCTCACTGTTCCTCACCAGGTAGCTGGCCTCCTTACACAGCCTCAGCAGAGACTCTGCATCCGTCCTGCTGATCGATCCATGGTACCAGCTGCAGGGTGGAGAGAAGAGGGAGGGTAAAACAGAGTTTCAAATGGAGAAAGTGTCTGTTATCTAACATCAAAAGACAATCAAACATCTCCACACAGCTCTATCTCAGAAGCACCAACACAAAAGTACCAAATCCCTAGAGAGGATCACAGGAATAGAATTACTAGTCATTATAATTATGTGGATAGAAAGACAGTAGGGGAGGATGACTTACAACTGGCTCTCCAGGGGCATGGAGGGGTCAATGCGTTCCCCCAGAGTAGCACTGCAGTGGTCCAGAGAGCTCATCTTGGTGTTGACCAGACAGCAACTGGAGTGGACGCGGGGCGGACGCCCTCCTTTACCCTCCTTGGTGGGCGACATTCTGGACTTCTCCGCCCCTTCAAACTGGACTGTAAATGAAGGAGAGATCCACAGCCAGATATGAGTATCACAATACAACAGCATCTCAATAGAGGCTTTCGTGAAGAGACATGTGAAATATCAGCCTTGGAACATTGTAACCACTCAAATTCATAGACAGAGCTATGGATGCAAGGACAGACCATCCATGACATCAAAATTATAGTTTTAATCATTTTTTGAGTCTATTCATTGTTTGTTTACATTTATATTGTTATAACAAGCTGATATTTTGGAGTCTGATGGGGTATGACAGTTGAACTAAGCTCATGAGACATTTACAAGTTATATTCTTCAAGAATCAATGGGAATATCATTACTTTATAAGTCCAAAATGGATGTAGCAACTAAGGATTCTAGCTTTAACACACTGACCATTGAAGTCCATCTTATATTTTCTGTACTAATCAATTATAAGCAATTCAATTAAAGTGGCGTTGAGTTCAGAGAAGCATGTGTTCTAAACATCAGGCATATCAGTGAAACACAGAGCTGCTGTGACTTATTCTTCATGATTCCTCCTGGTACTTTCCCAGCTTGTATGTGCTGTGCTGCAGTGAGACGTGTTAATGAGAGGAGACAGCCATGCCTCAGTGTTTAAACACACACACCACCACTCTGTACAACACATCACTCTCAAGGACCTTCACAGACGAAGGCAGAGCGAGACAGAAATCAATCCTGCCACACTGTGTACACAATGCCAGACGGGAGGGAAAACACAACATGCACAAACTAGTCCAGGTTAATCATTGAGCCAGGCCTTGAAAAGTGGCAAGGTCACTAACTAGAGAATGGAAGTTGGCACTTCTCAAGGCTTTGCTGCTCGGTCTGATGGGGGATCGGAGATGATCCATCCAAATCGTGACACGACCCTGACTAACGTTAGAGGTCAGAGAGTTGCTTTTAGACCAATCAGAAACAAGCTACTCAATCTTCCTATTTACACAGTCTGATGTGAGATCAGAGGGGAGCGTGGGAGGGGACCAGGAGTAGAAGTTGAAACCTCAGAACTTCCTGGTTGTGGTCAGCGGTTAGAGGTCAGAGAAACTGACAAAGGAGAGATGGGGGGAAACCGTTTCTCTCCACAGCTCATTCCTGTAGTTGATGTCACACCATCCTTTGGAAAGAGCCCCATTTCCAGTTGCCTTGGCTTGGCTTGGCTTGCTACCCCCAGCAGTAAACTGAGGTCACCCTTCAACATCAAACACATTACCAGAGTCTGTCACTGCCAGAATGCTGAAGACCGCTTTAGGGCGTCAAGAGGAGTGGAGCCACACATCAAACGTTGAGCCTCTGATGGAAGCAGTTCATTTAGCATACTTAGTTGTGATTGCCTGCCCCCCGCCACTCCTCATCTCAATGGCTAATCTCACTCCAGGCCTGGGTTTAATTTTACTGAGTGGACATGGCTCCTCCAGACAGACAAGAGCCGCTGGAATCACAACATGTCGATGGAGAGGGGAGGAATACGCTTGTCTAGTCTAGACCACACCTCCAGTCAAAGGATAGCATTTAGCTTACTGTAAAGCTATTGTAACATTGAGTCCTTACAGCCCTTCCACCATCATACACTGAACTAAATTATAAAATGCAACATGTAAAGTGTTGGTTCCATGTTTCATGAGCTGAAATAAAAGATCCCAGAAATTTTCCATACGCACAAAAAGCTTATTTCTCTCAAATGTTGTGCACAAATTTGTTTACATCACTGTTGGTGAGCATTTCTCCATTGCCAAGATAATCCAGCCACCTGACAGGTGTGGCATATCAAGAAGCTGATTAAACAGCATGATCATTACACAGGTACACTTTGTGCTGGGGACAATAAAAGGCCACTGTGTAGTTTTGTCACACAACAGAATGCCACAGATGTCTCAAGTTGAGGGAGTGTGCAATTGGCATGCTGACTGCAGGAATGTCCACCAGAGCTGTTTCCAGTGAATTGAATGTTAATTTATCTACCATAAGCCGCCTCCAATGTCGTTTTAGAGAATTTGGCAGTATGTCCAACCGGCCTCACAACCGCTGACCACGTGTAACCACGCCAGTCCAGGACCTCCACGTCCGGCTTATTCACCTGCAGTATCGTCTGAGACCAGCCACCCGGACAGCTGATGAAACCGTGGGTTTGCACAACCTAAGAATCTCTGCAAAAACTTTCAGAAACAGTCTCAGGGAAGCTCATCTCATCGTCCTCACCAGGGTCTTGACCTGACTGCAATTCGGCATCGTAACTGACTTCAGTGGACAAACGCTCACATTCGATGGCCACTGGCACGCTTCACGGCTGAATCCCGGTTTCAACAGTACCAGGCACTTAGCAGACAGCGTATGGCGTCGTGTGGGCGAGCGGTTTGCTGATGTCAACGTTGTGAACAGAGTGCCCCATGGTGGCAGTGGAGTTATGGTATGGGCAGGCATAAGCTACGGACAACAAACACATTTGCATTTCATTGATGGCAATTTGAATGCACAGAGATACCGTGACGAGATCCTGAGGCCATTGTCGTGCCATTCATCCGCCGCATCACCTTATGTTTCAGCATGATAATGCACGGCCCCATGTTGCAAGGATCTGTAAACAATTCCTGGAAGCTGAAAATGTCCCAGTTCTTCCATGGTCTGCATACTCATCCGACATGTTGCATGTTGCCTTTATATTTTTGTTCAGTGTATAATTACCCGTAAGTGTATCAATAAATGTAGATGTCTTCTAGAAAACAACCTCGAAAACAACCTCATTTAAATGCCTGACATGCACAACTAGAAGCAATTAACTGTCTGCCTGATGCTAAGATACATACTGAACAGCAGAAACATATTCTAAGCATCACTGAAGCATGCATAGCATGTGCTTACCACTGGCAAAGCTACATCATATATGATCATGTTGTTCCACCACTGACCACCAGGGGCTCCCCTTAACCTAATTTCTATTGTTCATGTGAATGACATATCAGTACTTCCTTAATAAAGTAAGGCTGTGTTTACACAGGCAGCCCAATTCTGATGTTTTGCCCAAATAACTGGCAAAATATCTGACTTTGTTAAAATACCAATTAGTGGCAAAATGAAAAAATCTGAATTGGGCTACCTGTGTAAACACAGCCTTAGTGAAAGATTGCTCTGAAGCTCAAACCAGTTCCATGGCTTGGCTAAACAAAATTATAATGATAATGATGGTGTTTTTTGCACTAATACATAGTTGAGTCTGAAGATGACACACACTGTACAGTATAAATGAGGCCAAATGATTTGTTTTACTAGTTTCCGTTGTTCCATGAAAGTCTAATATGGATGATATATTCTCACACAAATGTCATCCGTTTCTGTAAACGGTACAAGTAGCTCTCTTGGTATATGTTTAATGTATATGTGTATGTGTGTGAGATAGTGTTTCCATGGAGACTGACCGGGTGGGAAAAGATGCGTTTGCAGCCCCTCACGCTGTCAGCCAAGACACAGCCAATCTGTAGCTCTGCAGCAAACCTTCCCCTGAGTGTGTGCTTGTGTGTGTTTGTGTGCACGTACGTTTGTGCAATAATGTCAGAGAAAGAGAGAGCAGTAGTGGGACTGCTGTAGTCTAAATATATTGTTTCCTCTTTATTAAAACAAAACCCTATCTCTATAAAAACAATGTCCCCTGTATCTCTGAACCAGTGGAGGCTGCTGAGGGGAGGATGGTTCATAATCCAGAACGGAGCAAATGACATGGCATCAACCACCTGGAAACCATGTGTTTGATGTAATTGATACCATTCCACTAATTCCGCTCCAGCCTTTACCACGAGCCTGTCCTCCCCAATTAAGGTGCCACCAACCTCCTGTGCTCTCAACGTATATGTGTGCGTTGGTGTTGGCTATATGAGTGTGTCAGTGTGTGTTGGTGAATGTGAGAGTATTATGAGTTTTGATAAGAACACGAGGAGCTCCCATGTGAGGAAACGGTCACTTTCGGTCAGCTATCTGTCATCACTGTGGCAGACAGAACATGCTCTGATGCTATCAGCTATCACTTACAAGTACATGACATTGGCAATGTCTGTCTACATTCCATGTCTACGGCTATGAAGGAATCTGAACCAACACTAAAGTCTGTTATTATTGGTTTGATCATGATAGATTAGACTGACGTTCACCTGAGCCCTAGTCAGAGCTCTCAATTCCCACTTTAATTATGCTTAATACTTTAATTCCTAAACACTCATAACACCTCAATTAAACTCTGATTGACATCTACAGTAACATTAGATCCACAAGGAACCAGCTCAATGTGATTAAATAATTTTCCTTCTCTCGCTTTTGACTCCTCCACCTAGGCAGAGTGAATGGCTATCCTCAGGGGTGTTCACCACTCAACCTCTCCCGTCAGAACAGGGCCTTTTCAGAGGCAATGCACATAGCTTCAAAGAGGAATTACTAAGGAGTGAACCACAACAAAAAAAGCGATCATTTTATTTGTTTGAGTGTGAAGAGCCCATGTCTTCTATGATTGCCAACCCTCTCCCCCACAATAGCTGCAGCAGCAGCAGTATTATAGTTTGGCTGACTCCTGGTGATATTCAGCCCAAACTCATTCCCTTTCATTCTCCACAGCTCACACTCAGGACGGACAAGACGAGATTGAAGAGAGGATTGGCACATAGGTAATGAGCCCTGAGGGGCAGTTAGAGTGATGTAAGGACCCACACGGACGCACAAACACACACTTACACACACGCCATTCTGTGTGTGTGTCTGCCAGCCTGTCTACACTACCTGTATTGTGGCGTGTAAAGCAGAGCAATTGGAATCTCGGTATCAGATTGAACCGTCAGTCAGACGGTGATGGATGGTTGAAGGGCCCACCCATCTCTGCAGGCTCCCAACAAAACACAGGCTGCAAGGATGGAGGGATGGAGGGAGGGGGATGGAGGTAGAGAGGAAGGGAGATGGAGAGAGATACTGATTGGCTGGGACTTAGATAAATCACAGGCCAAAGGTCAAAGGGACATCTGGAGGACCAGAACATGCCCAGAGAAAAGCAGAGCTGAAAACCACTCACTACTGCCTCCTCTCACTGAGACAACCACCCACTTTCCACACAGCACATTTACTAATTAAGCCAGCTAATTAATTCTCATTTACTAATGGTACTTCCATCAAAAGAGTGAGTTCACTGGTCAGTGGGGAAAGCTTGCGATCTACTGCTGTATTACAGGGTTACAATTAAGATTTCCAGCTTGACAGTGCAAATGATTAACAGGTCTGAAGACTCATTGAAATGCACGGCACATTGTGAGCATCAAACCATGAAACCATACACTGCCATGGGAGAGAGTGAGCTGCTTGTAAAACCACTGCTTTCTGTTGACATCCAGAGTATATTGTGCTTCGGGAAGTCGAATAGGATATGTTGAAAGGGTTATATAGAAACACACTTGCTGAGCCCAATGGTCTTATTCTCCGATGAGTTCAACATCAAGGCATGTTATTTTTCTATCAAATCCCAAAACGTGTTCTGACGAGTTTTCCAAAGACAAAGGAACAATCCTCCAAAGGCTTAAACGCCTGCAGATACCTTGAACAAAAATGAAATCTGGATATCTTTTAATTACATTGTTTTGTATTCTAGTAAGACAACGGGAAGAGAAGGTAAGATAATGGCCCAGACAATCAATTCACACCAGAAAACAAAGGAAAAGCTCTTTATTACATCCAGACAAAGGACTTTGTCTTCTGTTTATATGTAGATGTAATATCTGTACTGTCACGGCTGTCAGGCAATATTTAAATATGATAATTATATTGAACTGGTTAGACAGGTTCTGTTCAGCTGTACTGGGCGCTGTACCATCCAGGTCCATATCACAAAGCTAATCATAAATGGCCCTGGTAACACTTCTAGCATGGAGACCTGGCTAGGGCCACAAAGAGCAATGGCTTTTGCCCCTAACAACAGTTCTAGGATTAGATTAGCAGTGGTTAGGAACAACTTCTACCTACTCTGACTATGTCCTCCTGTGTGAGTGGAGCCCCCCCCCCCCCAGTCTCTATATCCAACCTCTGACCCCTGTGATGTAGTGGGAGTTCAGACAGAGAGAGGATCCTCTTACAGCCAGACGCCACACTAAAACCCACTCATATCCCATGCATGGTGGAAGTGGAGCCATTCCCAAGGCATTATGGGGCATAAATCATGTCCTGTCCTCACCCTCAGAAAACAGCCAGCTCATCTTACTGGCTCTCTCTCTGGTGATGGAGGGAGGATGGCTCATTGTAATGGCTGGAATGGAATGGATAGAACAGTATGAAGGACATTAAACACATGGTTTCCAATTTAAACTCCAGCCTCCACTGGTCTCTCTACAGTAATACACCCCCTCTACACTACCAGGGGAGTACAGAGCCTCAGCCTGGGTATTAGTTCTGCTACACATAGCCCCTCTCCTCTCTCTCCCTGGATAATTAGTTACTGATTGCAGAGCTGTGGAAAAGCTGTAAACATCAGCAAACACACTGAGGCTTCTTAATTGGAAATGGACCAAGTCGCTATTATTCGAATCACAAGCAAGTCTCAAGTCACAAGGTCCAAGTCTCAAGTCACAAGGTCCGAGTCTCAAGTCAAGTCTTAAGTACAGTTGGAAGTTTACATACACCTTAGCCAAATACATTTAAACTCAGTTTTTCACAATTCCTGATATTTAATTCTAGTAAAAATTCCCTGTTTTAGGTCAGTTAGGATCACCACTTTATTTTAAGAATGTGAAATGTCAGAATAATAGTAGAGAGAATTATTTATTTCAGCTTGTATTTCTTTCATCACATTCCCAGTGGGTCAGAAGTTTACATACACTCAATTCGTATTTGGTAGCATTGCCTTTAAATTGTTTAACTTAGGTCAAACGTTTCGGGTAGCCTTCCACAAGCTTCCCACAATAAGTTGGGTGAATTTTGGCCCATTCCTCCTGACAGAGCTGGTGTAACTGAGCCAGGTTTGTAGGCCTCCTTGCTCACACAAACTTTTTCAGTTCTGCCCACAAATGTTCTATAGGATTGAGGTCAGGGCTTTGTGATGGCCACTCCAATACCTTGACTTTGTTGTCCTTAAGCCATTTGCCACAACTTTGGAAGCATGCTTGGGGTCATTGTCCATTTGGAAGACCCATTTGCGACCAAGCTTTAACTTCCTGACTGATGTCTTGAGATGTTGCTTCAATATATCCACATAATTTTCCTTCCTCATGATGCCATCTATTTTGTGAAGTGCACCAGTCCCTCCTGCAGCAATGCACCCCCACAGCATGATGCTGCCACGGTGTTTATACTTGCATACTATTGTTTGTACAGATGAACGTGGTACCTTCAGGCGTTTAGAAATTGCTCCCAAGGATGAATCAGACTTGTGGAGGTCAATAATTCTTTTTCTGACATCTTGGCTGATTTCTTTTGACTTTCCCATGATGTCAAGCAAAGAGGCACTGAGTTTGAAGGTAGGCCTTGAAATACAGTGGGGAAAAAAGTATTTAGTCAGCCACCAATTGTGGAAGTTCTCCCACTTAAAAAGATGAGAGAGGCCTGTAATTTTCATCATAGGTACACATCAGCTATGACAGACAAAATGAGATTTTTTTTCTTCAGAAAATCACATTGTTGGAATTTTGATGAATTTATTTGCAAATTATGGTGGAAAAGAAGTATTTGGTCAATAACAAAAGTTTCTCAATACTTTGTTATATACCCTTTGTTGGCAATGACACAGGTCAAACGTTTTCTGTAAGTCTTCACAAGGTTTTCACACACTGTTGCTGGTATTTTGGCCCATTCCTCCATGCAGATCTCCTCTAGAGCAGTGATGTTTTGGGGCTGTCGCTGGGCAACACAGACTTTCAACTCCCTCCAAAGATTTTCTATGGGGTTGAGATCTGGAGACTGGCTAGGCCACTCCAGGACCTTGAAATGCTTCTTACGAAGCCACTCCTTCGTTGCCCGGGCGGTGTGTTTGGGATCATTGTCATGCTGAAAGACCCAGCCACGTTTCATCTTCAATGCCCTTGCTGATGGAAGGAGGTTTTCACTCAAAATCTCACGATACATGGCCCCATTCATTCTTTCCTTTACACGGATCAGTCGTCCTGGTCCCTTTGCAGAAAAACAGCCCCAAAGCATGATGTTTCCACCCCCATGCGTCACAGTAGGTATGGTGTTCTTTGGATGCAACTCAGCATTCTTTGTCCTCCAAACACGACGAGTTGAGTTTTTACCAAAAAGTTCTATTTTGGTTTCATCTGACCATATGACATTCTCCCAATCCTCTTCTGGATCATCCAAATGCACTCTAGCAAACTTCAGACGGGCCTGGACATGTACTGGCTTAACATTTACATTTACGTCATTTAGCAGACGCTCTTATCCAGAGCGACTTACAAGCAGGGGGACACGTCTGGCACTGCAGGATTTGAGTCCCTGGCGGCGTAGTGTGTTACTAATGGTAGGCTTTGTTACTTTGGTCCCAGCTCTCTGCAGGTCATTCACTAGGTCCCCCCGTGTGGTTCTGGGATTTTTGCTCACCGTTCTTGTGATCATTTTGACCCCACGGGGTGAGATCTTGCGTGGAGCCCCAGATCGAGGGAGATTATCAGTGGTCTTTTATGTCTTCCATTTCCTAATAATTGCTCCCACAGTTGATTTCTTCAAACCAAGCTGCTTACCTATTGCAGATTCAGTCTTCCCAGCCTGGTGCAGGTCTACAATTTTGTTTCTGGTGTCCTTTGACAGCTCTTTGGCCTTGGCCATAGTGGAGTTTGGAGTGTGACTGTTTGAGGTTGTGGACAGGTGTCTTTTATACTTATAACAAGTTCAAACAGGTGCCATTAATACAGGTAACGAGTGGAGGACAGAGGAGCCTCTTAAAGAAGAAGTTACAGGTCTGTGAGAGCCAGAAATCTTGCTTGTTTGTAGGTGACCAAATACTTATTTTCCACCATAATTTGCAAATAAATTAATAAAAAATCCTACAATGTGATTTTCTGGAGAACAAAAATTCTCAATTTGTCTGTCATAGTTGACGTGTACCTATGATGAAAATTACAGGCCTCTCTCATCTTTTTACGTGGGAGAACTTGCACAATTGGTGGCTGACTAAATACTTTTTTTCCCCACTGTACATCCAAAGGTACATCTCCAATTGACTCAAATGATGTCAGAGCTTCTAAAGCCATGACATCAAGCTATTTAAAGGCACAGTCAACTTAGTGTATGTAAACTTCTGACCCACTGGAATTGTGATACAGTGAATTATAAGTGAAATAATCTGTCTGTAAACAATTGTTGGAAAAATTACTTGTGTCATGCACAAAGTAGATGTCCTAACTGACTTGCCAAAGCTATAGTTTGTTAACAAGACATTTGTGGAGTGGTTGAAAAACGAGTTTTAATGACTCCAACCTAAGTGTATGTAAACTTCCAACTTCAACTGTAGAATGGGTCTAGTCTTGAGTCAAGTCCAAGTCGTGCATTCTAAGACAACGTCAAGTCGAGACACGTTTTTTTTCAAGTCAAGTAAACAATTAATCTATACATACAATGACAGCAAATCTTTGTCTATTTATTGAGGCTACCAGACAGCACTTTTTATACTTTTGTCTACAACACATTTAGATTATGTAATTATAAAATAGGGACCTTGTAGCAGTCGTAAGGGCATGACATCAGCAGAAGGCAAGGCAGGTTGACGTACTCAGTGTAGATTTATTTACAGGTCTTGGTGATCCAATGGTGAAAGCACCATATCATACAAATATACAAGTAGATTCACCAAATATACACAGCCCAAAAGAAATAGCTTCTGTATGATGCATAACCTGTCCTATCTGAACAGACACAGGTAGCAGGCAAGACTAACAGGAGCTCAAACAGGTATATATAAGCACTTGACCACTCCCAGGACCATACAATTACCCAATTGGCAATTACAACCAATAAACTGGTTCTACAATGTAAAAGGCAATTTCCACATCCATTGTTACATTAGTACATTCGTTTTAATCAGACTTAATTATTACTAATTTAATCACCATTCATACATGGAACAATCATTTATCTTATTCATCCAAAGCATGGCGTGCAGGCCACGTAGCCTATTTCGCACAATTCGCCTATTACGCACAACCAGAATGACAGAGACATAGGACACAGACAAACGGAACTCGGACATAACCCGGGAAATATGAACAAAGGAAGCCATACATTGAATTAAATAAACAGAACTTCTACCTCATGAGTCTTGCGCACATTCATGTGCATAATGAACTTTGCGCCCACTCAGAGGGTAAGGAATGGTAAGGTAAATGAAAATGGATCGTATCAAACATGAAACAGAAATGTCTAAGTGTTGCAATAAACGGTACGGGACGGAATGATGAAACGCTAGCAAATATTATAGGATTAGATGGAATATAGGTTTAGCACATATGCATTTTAACCTGTGAAAGCAAGAGAACAAAGCATTCTCCACTGGGGGGAGTATGGAGAGCTCAAGTGGAGAGACGAGCCTATGGTGCGTCCTCGCCACAGTAATAATTCATTTTAACAAATTACAAATGCAAGCTTCATAAGTAATTGATCAATTTCAAGCAATTTTGACATACCAAATGACCAGTAGGCCTATACTAGGTCTAATTGTTGCTTGATGCCCCATTGCTGGTGAGCTTGCAAAGTAAACAGTCAATATGCTTGATTAACAAACTATATTTGGAGCTGCATATTTATCATGGCAATCCTCTCCCTAAAATGTGCTGTTTGCGCTGCACCCGATCCTATAGCTGTACAGGAAATCAGTAATCTGTTCACTAGCGCACCCGACCTTGTTGATTGACAGTTTGCTGGTCCAATCAGAGGGCCAAGTGTGCGTTTCACTAGCCAATCTGTTGCATGTTTTTTTTGCAAGGGCGATGCTGCGGCTACTGTCTCAGGCTGTGTGGAGCGTAATCTACGGAGATTGTGCCACAAAATGAGTGACAAAAAAAACATAAACCCTGGCCAGATAATTTTAAGTCATCAGTCTCAAGTCAAAGTCGAGTCTCGAGTCTCCAAGTCAAAGTTATTTTATTTTCTATCAAGTCGAGTCTCAAGTCATCAAATTCGTGTCTCGAGTCCACAACTCTGGAAATAGGGTTATTATTTGGTCACAGAGCATTATAAAAGCAAGGTCAGACACTTTGTGGTACATAGATGTTCTAACCTAAATGAAGAGAAGTAAACTTGGGGATTTCAATGGGTTCTTAATCAAGGGTTTGGTAGTATGAGCTATAAAGAGCAGTGGGCAGGGGGATGCTTGCCTTGGAACACTTATGCCTATGTTGACAGTAGCATTAGGGGTCACCTACACTTCCAATTACCCATTCAGAAGGCAATTCAGCGGCATTAAAAGTAATGAGCCTTCGTCCACACAACCTGGACTGGTGCTAGTGATTTTCTGCCATATATAATCCAGATGGAAAAGGGCAGTTACTACAGAGATAATGTGAACCGTCAAACTGATTAAAAAATATACTGTAGAGCTGATCAATCACTTCCTCCTCACTCAATGAGGTCACACATATATAACTGTCTGTTCCGGTTTTCACATGTTGTCATAGTGAATGGAATGTTGTCTTACAACTGTATGGTATGTAGTCACCCACGCAATTTGTCATTTCTCAACTTCAACAGACAGTTCACCAGTACAGTACCCTATCAGGGAACAGGATGAAGAGGAAGATGAGCAATGGAAATTAGATATGGAGATGGCAAGAGAGAGGCAAGGAGACATTGTTGATGAGGGACATTGGATGAGGGTCTCCGATGGTGTTGGGATGGACAGACAGGACAGGGACAATAAGACCCACCATGGTGGTGCTGGTCACAGCCAGTGTGTCCAGGGGAGTGCTGGGCTGGCTGGGGGGGCAGAGCGGGGGGTGACTCCACCCCCTCCAGCAGGGCCAGGGGAGGACTGTGGTTGAGCTGGCCGACAGGAGGGGGCCACGGCAGGTCCTTGATCACTTTAATCTCTACTGCAGGCAGCCCAGGTCACCAGGACGGGAGCAAGAGGGAAGGAGGGGAAGAGAGAGAGGTAGAGGCAGAGAGATAGCGATAAGAGAAAGAACGCGAGAGCGAGGCAGAGAGAGATAAGGCAGAGAGAGGCAGAGAAAGATCGAGATAAAGAGAGAGAGATGAGGGGGAAAGGGGAAAACAGAAGAGAACAGAGTAAGAGAAATGAAGGACAGTAGCATCCCATGCAGGTACAGGTCAGGTTAGTATAGCACAGCACAGCACAGTCAATGGAACAGCAGGGAAAACCAGGAGAGAGCAGGACTGAAAAGGAAGGAATATTAGTTGACCTGAGAGAGACAGACTCTGCTCTTCGACCTCTCCACTTTGCCTCTACGTATTTCTTTGATGTTTTACAAGGAGTCAACCAGGGGAATTTTCAACTGCAGGTCAGAGTCATTAATTACGCTCTGGATTTCGCAGGGAAAGTGGCTGAAGAGAGCTACTAATGAGGTATTTAAAACACAAAATCAAAGACCTGAGTGGACCTGAGCATGACTTGGCTAGTGTGAAAAGCCTCACGGACAACATAAGCTCTGGTATGGCTCATAACAGAGTTAGAAAGTCTGAAACTGCCTTCATAATAAGATAGGGGCAATATACACGATTCTCTACTGGAGCCAAACACAGTGGAATCCTTTGTAATGGTGGGGGGCACCCGGCAGACCTAGCCCCTCAGTAAATGTATCGCTCATGTCCAGATGGGGGTATTACCAGAGTAAATCGAGTGCTGGTGCGCCTTCCCATCTTTCACTGGGAATGGCCCCCGTGTTTAATAGCACAGGAGGCTCGACAAATAAGGGGATGAGAAGGGGAGTGCATTTCCCTATCCACCAGGGAGCTGCGGTTCTGTTTGCTGCAGTGGCTAATAAAGAAACATGGAGCACCAGGACTGGCTGTGCAGGAGGGAGTTCTACAGCCAGGAATGACATGTTGCCTGTCAAGTCCCATCGTTCTCTGGATAAATGAATAGAGTCCTGATGTTATGTTTCATCATTGAATTTCCCTCATAAAATAGTAGTAGCAGGAAGATGCATTGTAGAAAGATGAAAAGAACACATCACACAATGGCTAACTCAAAAACATTCCGATCAAACCATCATCTCATTCAACCCCTATTCCAAGATATTCTTTCGTATCCTCATGCCAAGTAAGCCATTCATTTAGAATCACCCACCTCAGGCGATGGAGTGACTGTTATTTCCATTGCTGATGAAAAAAGAAAAGCTGGGAGTTTGCTGACTGCCACCTCGCTGTCGCCAGGTTTTATAGGCTGGTAAACTGGCTTTTCTTCTGTGAGCTGAACGGACACATTATGAACATGTCCTTGTTCTGGCCTGCAGGAAATAGCTGGGGTGCAGAAAATGCTAATGAGGAGGGGGGGAATCAGCTCAGCAGATGAAGAGGGAAACCAGAGAATATTCAGTTGGACAAGCAATTAAAGACCTCAGCCTTAGTGCCGTGGTGGCAGGGTGAGAGTAATGTGGCTGCAGGACTGTTGATATGACAAGGGCTCACATGAGGAGTCCTCACCATGAATTGTGTCCTCGGAATGAAGTGTCTTTAATGGTATCCTCACAAAGGATGGTGTCCTTTCACTATGACAGCCAATAGGAGAGAGTGTTATCCCTGGTTCTCAGACAAAGGCAAATGAGACAGAGATATAGGGTTAGGACAGAGGTTAGAGCTCTAGCAGCTAATATAATAACTTCCTGCCTTGGGATCCCTCACCGCTGAGCGATTATAAGTTTAATTCTCATTTCACATTCCAGGTTAGCATGTAATTGTTTTGGGAGTAGCAGGCATTGCGGTGTTATGCAGCCTTGCTCTGAGGATGAAAAGCCGATTCTTACAGGTCGGTCTCAGCTTAGCTCAGCTCTGCTCAGATGCACAGTGCAATAATGAGGTGAGCTGTCACACAGCTACTTCTAAAAGGAAGGTAAACTGATTCAAGTGACAGAATTACAGTGGCAGTCTTCAAACCTCCAGTTGTTTGATTTTTCCCTTACCCTATAACCTGTTTCAATTTGCTGTCAGCCCAAAGGCCTTTTCGGAATAAATCTTGGATTGGATGTTATGTTGCGGCATGGATGAGTGCATCTTAAGGCCTCGACACGTTGCTCTGAGACACTGTGTGAAGTGACCTGCCTGGGAGCAGAGGGTGACAATTCTTTATCCTCATTTGTCAGGCTGAGGTGATGAGAGAGGCTGAAACACAGTGGAGAATGCACAGAGCCATTTTGTAGTTTGAGTCTGCACTCTAACATCTCTGGAGCCTCTATCCACAGCTTATCCAAGTCACACATACTGCACAAAACTGTGTGCCAGATAGAAATGTCTGGGTGTATGACTGGGCTGGCACAGACAGGCGTCAGGTCCTTTAGTTGGCACTGCCTCACCAGTGACGTGTCCCCACGGTGATCCATGTGTTTTGCTTTGGGAAGAGGTGAATCATTGGTAGAAGGTTGTTCTCTCACTCAGTAGGACATCCCATGGGACTCAGTGACAGTGGAGGTGCCTTGAGCATTAGGAGGAAGTCACAGAGCCCAGCTCACCCGATTCTACCAAACCCCCAGGGTGTACTCTGCCCTACACTGTCTCTCACAGAGTCTCTCTCTCCAACTATACAGTCCATTCTACCAATTTTTTATCTCTCAGTCAGGACGAATGTTGATGTCTCCAGGGCATATTGGATGCAAGCAGCAGACCCACATGAAAAAATACTATAGTATGCTATGGTATACAGTGCATTCGGAAAGTATCCACATTTTGTTACGTTACAGCCTTATTCTAAAATTGATTAAATGTTTTTATTTCCTCATCAATCTAAACACAATACCCCATAATGACAAAGCAAAAACAGGTTTCAGAAAATTTTGCAAATTTATTAAAAAATAAAAAACTGAAATATTACATTTACATAAGTATTCAGACCCTTTACTCAGTACTTTGTTGAAGCACCTTTGGCAGCAATTACAGCCTTGAGTCTTCTTGGGTATGACGCTACTAGCTTGGCACACCTGTATTTGGGGAGTTTCTTCCATTCTTCTCTGCAGATCCTCTCAAGCTCTGTCAGGTTGGATGGGGAGCGTCGCTGAACAGCTATTTTCAGGTCTCTCCAGAGATGTTTGGATCGGGTTCAAGTCCGGGCTCTGGCTGGGCCACTCAAGGACATTCAGAGACTTGTCCCGACTTGTCCCGAAGCCACTCTTGGCTGTGTGCTTAGGGTCGTTGTCCTGTTGGAAGGTGAACCTTCGCCCCAGTCTGAGGTCCTGAGCGCTCTGGAGCAGGTTTTCATCAAGGATCTCTCTGTACTTTGCTCCATTCATCTTTTCCTCAATCCTGACTAGTCTCCCAGTCCCTGCCGCTGAAAAACATCCCCACAGCATGATGCTGCCACCACCATGCTTCACTGTAGGGATGGTGCCAGGTTTCCTCCAGACGTGACGCTTGGCATTCAGGCCAAAGAGTTCAATCTTGGTTTCATCAGACCAGAGAATCATGTTTCTCATGGTCTGAGAGTCTTTAGGTGCCTTTTGGCAAACTCCAAGCGGGCTGTCATGTGCCTTTTACTGAGGAGTGGCTTCCGTCTGGCCACGCTACCATAAAGGCTTGATTGGTGGAGTGCTGCAAAGATGGTTGTCCTTCAACTGTGGGACCTTATATAGACAGGTGTGTGCCTTTCCAAATAATGTCCAACCAATTTAATTTACCACAGGTGGACTCCAATCAAGTTGTAGAAACAGCTCAAGGATAATCAATGGAAACAGGATGCACCTGAGCTCAATTTCGAGTCTCATAGCAAAGGGTCTGAATACTTAAGTAAATAATGTTTTTTATTATTAATAAATGTACAAACATTTCTAAAAACCTGTTTTCACTTTGTCATTATGGGGTATTGTGTGTAGATTGATGAGGGAAAACATTTATTTAATACATTTTAGAATAAGGCTGTAACGTAACAAAATGTGGAAAAAGTCAATGGTCTGAATACTTTCCGAATGCACTGTAAATACTATAGTATTCACTGTAGTCTTTTTGCTGACTTTACTGTAGTATTCACTGTAGTGTTTTTGCAGACATCATGGTAGTGTTTTTGCGGACTAATGTCAGCAAAAACACTACAGTACTATAGTTAACTGTATACTGTAGTATTTACAATTAACTATAGTATAAATACTGTAGTAAAAGAAAACTGTAGTACATACTATAGTAATTCATGTTGTGTTTTTGAAGATTGTTGTAAACTGTAGTATTTACTGTAGTGTTTTTGCGGAACGTAGTATACTGTAGTATTTACTGTAGTGTTTTTGTGGACATTACTGTATTATTTACTATATTGTTTTTGTTTTATTATCTTTGACATAGAAGTGGAGTCTTTCTCCTTGAGGAAACCTACTGGAGAAATACTAAAAGAGCAAATGTTCCATAAACTGTAGGTAGGTAGTACTGAGGTCTGAACGAATAGTTCAAGCTTCTGCTCTTTTCTGTAACGTGTAGAGAACACAATATATGGTCTATAGTTGGCATGTACTTTTCTCACTCATTGGTTGCAGAAATTGGGATATGGGGGAGGGGAATGAGCAGGGTATATGCAAATTAAACACTGTAGTATATAGCAAGTATCCTTGCACAAGCCTTGGAATGTGCGAGTCATAATGGCTCATAGGAGCAGGAGCGTGAGGCAGCTTGATGGACAAGTACACCCCCTGGACAGGACACTAGTCTATCGCATGGCCTTACCCCCAATCTATCTCCTTAATGCTGAGTATCAAGCAGAGACGCATCGGGTCCAATTTTTACAGTTTTTGGATTTCATTCGGTCAGGGATCAAACTCCCAACCTTCCAATCTCAGGGCGGACACTAACCACAAGGCAACTGAATTGCAGTATATACTAAAGTAAAAAAATATATAACAGTTATCCTGTTGGGCACAATCCCATTCTAAATCTACAAAGCTTCAAACATCCAACTGACTGAACATTGGCCAGAGCCAGAACTTGTTGGACTCTTAGAATATAATGGAGATGACAGGAACAGGAAGACACAATGACATAGCCTCCTGTGACGTGACATTCTGGTACTGTGTCATCTGGAGTGTTCTGTCTTGTGCCAGTCTATACTGATGATGAAGAGAGTGAGAGACAGAGTGAGAGTGAGAGTGAGAGGAGAGAGAGACAGACATTCCATAAAAACTCCAGATATCTTTTTTTTTTTAGAGGTCTCTACAAGAGGTATTTGTTTACCTTGTTCTTTTAATTAGGCAGCGCTACTTCATCAGTGTAAACAGCGATGCCACATAAATCACTGGCCCACTTGTGCCATTTCATTTAGTTCTGCTTAATTTGCCCTGCTAATTGCATGCATATTCAAAATAAGTTAGTAGATTGCAATGTTTATGGCGTTTATTAGGAGCTGGATGAGAGCTCAGAAAAACAAAAATAGCTTTTGCAGATGCTCTCATATCACCATCACCAGAAACTAGTAGTTCACAGCTGATTGTGGAAGAAACCGCCAAATGCCACCTCATAGGAAATGCACGTTGTATCCATCGCATCACCATCCACCTCTCTCTATCCCTCTCTCCCAACACTTATCTGTAGTGAAGAGAATATGTTCCTATTAAATATGAAAGTGGAGGTGAGCAAGAGAGTGATGGAGGGGAGATGACAGTGTGCCCGTTCTGCCTAGACTCACAGCTGGCCACACAGCGGGGCTCCCAGGGGAGAGAAGAGCTACGGTCAGGCTGGCAGAGCGCCCGCTCTGTGCAGGGGGAGAGAAGGTGGGGGTTAGGGCTGGGGTGGGTGGCCAACGTGTGTGAGGGAAGATAACAGGCAGCGTGATGCGCGTTCAAAGGCAGCGGAGACATTTGAGGCTCATGAAAGAGGCCTGTCAGGGAGGTTATCAGCATTGGAGCAGCGGAGGGGAGGCCAGACCGGTGGGGATGAAGCACTGTGGAGTGACAGGCCATCACAGAGAGAGAGAGAGAGAGAGAGAGAGAGGAGAGAGACAGAGAGAACCATGGGGCCAGGGCATGGACCAGGCTCACCAACCAGTCTGTTAACTCCTCTTTAAACACACTGCAATAATCACTACTGGAATGAAACTGATTCAATTATTTACTTAAGAATAGAAGAGTTTTGTGCTTCAGATTTCTCTGGGTCATTAAGTCCTTGAAGAGTCATTAAAAACCCATAAAGCGGTGTGTGTTGCTCCTCAGGACCTGCCTCAGGGCTCTGACAGCATCTCCTGTTATCTCGCCTGCAGTAAGTTCACTGGGTTAAGCTGGCTAGCAGCCAACTTAATGGCGTTTAGCAGCCAGCAACACAGGGTCTACAGATGAAGTAACACTGGCTCTCTAGCCAGAAACAATGAGGCACTACTCAGATTTCCAATGGCTGCCTGTTCAATGTCTGGATGTATTAGTGTGTGTGGTGTGCATATTGAACATGAACACACACACATACATATATACAAGTGTGTACCTGTACACACACACACACAACCCCTCACCGTACACAATCCCCCACCACACACCAACCTCTTTCACACAGAGGCTCTCTTCATATGGCCAAACTTGAATGGATCTTCCTCACTCCTCAACCCCCCGTCTCATCCATCACAAAGTCAACGCCTGAGGGAGAAGGGGGGACGAGCAGCGAGGATGAGTGATTAACCGAATGGCATGTACACAACCTCCCAAACAAGGGAGGGAATTTACATTCCATTGCATATCTGTCAAGAGATAACCCAACAGTGAATAATAAGCGAGGGCCTGTAAAACCAACGACATGTACTGTGTGTGTGGATGTACTAGACAGGGAGGCAGGCAGCCCCACGCGGCGGGGACAGCTAAGGAGAGGTGGTGGTGTACATACAGGGGGCATTACAGTTCTGTCCCTTATACAGCTCTAATGAAGACAAATAGTGCTTTATTCAGATGGCATTCCAGTGTTCAGCTAGGGAGAGATAAAGGTAGCTGCATTATGGTGTTTAATACCTCTTATTCACCCACTCTCCTCTATTTGCGGGGTGCATATTTCTTCATTACCCGTTAATATTCTGTGTGCTGACACTTTAATTCAACATACCAACATACCGTCTAAATATAAACAGCATCTATGCGGCATCTTTATGAGGCTGGAAACCGCAGAGGAAATCTGAAGAGTGAACAATATCATTATTCATCTATGCAAATAAGAGTTTAAATGCAAATAATTTAAATTCACCAACAGAATATAAAACACATCATATACACAATATCTGAAGCTAGTGTGGAAAGTTCCTTCCTAACACACCCAATGGTCTGATGGTAACAGACGACAAGTCATTAAGGGGACAACCAGAAGAAAGGGACTGGTCATCGTCCTGACCCTTGGCCTGGGTCGATGACCTGTCCTGAGTGATCTGAGACTTCTGGCTGAGCATGAGGTACTGGCTCATTCAGCCCCCTGTCTCTATCGGCAGTCGCCAAGGGTCGCATAATGATGACACACTTCTTATAGTGCTCTGACAATGATGATCCAATCTTCAAACAGCCTGGATATAGAAGATAACGTGTAAGGTCTACCAGAGCTGTCACCTTTAAGACCTAGGTCTACCAGAGCTGTCACCTTTAAGACCTAGGTCTACCAGAGCTGTCACCTTTAAGACCTAGGTCTACCAGAGCTGTCACCTTTAAGACCTAGGTCTACCAGTGCTTTCACCTTTAAGACCTAGGTCTACCAGAGCTGTCACCTTTAAGACCTAGGTCTACCAGAGCTGTCACCTTTAAGACCTAGGTCTACCAGAGCTGTCACCTTTAAGACCTAGGTCTATAGACAGTGTTAGAGCTGAGGCCCTTTTATATAAAGTTCTTGAACTTTCTCTGAGCTTTTTGATGATCAAGACGTCTGGAACCAGTTCGCAGCCAGCTCTTCACACGCTGAGAGAAAGAGAGAAGGGAGGCGTTCTTCTTTCAGAAAGCTCTGCTTTATGACAGATTGTCAGAGGAGAAGTCTCTCTCTCCACCAAACACTGGGATATCATTATGGGCTGAATGGAACATAAAAAGGTTGAAGACATACAATAAATCAAAGCACTTCTCCAACTCCAGTCTTCCTCTTTGAAGGACAACTTCAGCACTCTTATCTCTGTTCTCCCACAGCAGATGTCACTTTGACATCCCGAGCAAATGAAATTAATCACCATCAAAGGAAATAATATGAGAGGAGTGTTTGTAAATAGCATCCTAAATAAACTTGCCTTAGTGCTGGATAAAAGACAAAATCATGAGAGGAAAGAAATGAATGAAAGAAACCAACATCCGTTTTTCCTAACAGCTGAAAGAGACAGCACACATTTACTGCAGTATGAAACAGAGAAACATAGACCAAGTAAATACGGACAGAGAGAAACAGACACAGAAAGAGAGCCCAGCCCAGGTGGTGTGTGTCAGTGGTACCTGTGAGGGATTTAGAGGTGTTGTCCTTCCTTGTCTCTGGTTCTGATCCACTGCCACTTACAGAGCCCTTGTAGCTAATGCAGTCAGAACAGAGCAGAGCTGTTCAAAGAATACAAAAAAGGAAAAGAAAAAAGGAGGAAGAGGTAAAGAAAAAAACCCTTTAAAGGATTCTTTAATATTTGGTGTAGTATCGTTTCAAATCGAGGAAAGGTGTTGGTTTTTCCACCGCTCTTTTTGTTTGTTTGTGTTTGTCCTGGAACTGCCCTGTTCAGTTATGGCTGTGTTAGCTATGCTGGAGCTCTCTAAACCCCAGGTGACATTCAGTAAGACTCAGACAGAGACAGACAGAGACATTGAGACAGACAGACACATGCAAACACACACATACATGCACACATACACTGAATGACAAAAAGTATGTGTATGACACCTGCTTGTTGAACATCTTATTTCATAATCATGGGCATTAAAATGGAGTTGGTGCCCCCTTGCTATAACAGCCTCCACTCTTCTGGGAAGGCTTTCCACTAGATTTTGGAACATGTTGGAGCTTTACACCACTCCAGCCGACGCTTGGCATTACGCATGGATCTTAGGCCTGTGTGGGGCTGCTCCGCCACGGAAATTCATTTCATGAAGCTCCCGACGAACAGTTCTTCCAGAGGCAGTTTGGAACTCAGTATTGAGTGTTGCAACCGAGAACAGACAATTTTTCTGTGAGCTTGTGTGGCCTACCACTTCGCGCCTGAGCCGTTGTTGCTCCTAGACATTTCCACTTCACAATAACAGCACTTACAGTTGACCGGGGAAGCTCTAACAGGGCAGAAATGTGACAAACTGACTTGTTGGAAAGGTGGCATCCTATGACGGTGCCACGTTGAAAGTCACTGAGCTCTTCAGTAAGGCCATACTACTGCCAATGTTTGTCTATGGAGATTGCATGGCTGTGTGCTCGATTTTATACAGTACACCTGTCAGCAACGGGTGTGGCTGAAATAACCGAATCCACTAATTTGTAGCGGTGTCCACATACTTTTGCATATAGTGTATACCGTATATGAATCAGAACACGCAAACACAGTCATGCTCCCCTACCCACCATACACCATAGGTCTCTCCCAAGCTGCAGGTTGACGTTTATTGTCATGAATCTTGCCCTGGAGGCAGAACTGAGCGATTTCTGCTAGATGGGACAGCTGCAAAGTCAAAATTGGCTATATCGTAAACATTTATGAAAACTAAAATCCTAATTTAAGTTTAGGGTTAGCAGTGTGGTTAAGGTTAGGGGTAAGGTTAGGGTTATGTTTAAAATCAGATGTTACGACTTTGGTCACTAGCTGGCACAACCACACTCTGCAGAGCTGCCTCCAGGGCAAGATTCATAACAATAAATGCCAAAGACTGAACAGACACCCAGAAAAAGGCCCCACTCACCAGACCTGACACCTGCAAATTAACTTACTGTTATGCTTTACCAGAGGGAAGGGAATGAAAAATAAGATAAGATACCGGAAACCATGAAAGAAGCAGTAATCACATTGGTTAGTGCTGGAAAAGGGTACCTGGGCAATTAGTGGGATGGAGAGGGACAGCAGCACAGACACAGAGTGACAGTAATGTAGGAGACGTAGAGCAGGAGGAGAGGAGTGTTACATACGTGCTCTCGTACCTGCGAAGGCCTTGGAGATGCGCTCCTTCTTCCACTCCCAGGGCTGGTCGTACTCCTCCGGGGGCCTGTCGTCATCCTGCGGCAGCCGGCTCTCTCTGGGGCAGCGGGGACGCTCGTCGTCCGAGTCCCCTCCGTTCTCCGCTGGCTCGTAGGGCGTGTCGTACAGGGGCAGCGACCTCAGTGACCCCTCCTTAGGCCCCCGGCCACCGCGGATCTCTGGCAAAGGAGAAGAGGGAGAGGAGGGGTTAGATTAAACAGACTGTCAATGTGGATGTAAAGGTAAAACCATACGAAGGGACTGTATATGTGAATATGTATGTGAACAACAATCCAAGCAACATAGAAAAAAAATAAGACAAGCTATTATCAGCAGTTTCACTTCCAAAATCAGCAGTATCACTTCCAAAATATCATTTTCTCTACATACAGCACAAGACAGCCATGTTCCAAGGTAGGCTAAATGCAGCTATCCTTGGGCAGCGAGAACCAGCTGTCTCTTTACGTACCCACCCCCTGAGACCCAGGAGAGGGAGAGGATCCAGACATGGGACACCAACAGGCATGTTAATTATTGCTGTGTGGATCCTAATCAAACTCTAAACCTGTCAACAGTGATTAGCATAACCAAGAAGACACCAACACGTGCTCATAGGAAAGCCAGCTCAGATTGCCTGTGGTATGGAGACAGTCTAAGGTTTGGAAGTATCAGCCGTTATTTGAATAAGTCTGCTTCAAATGTTTAAAAGCCTCAGTCTCAGACTATGACCCATCGAATGAGCGTAGCTCCAGTTATAGAACTATCAAAGAGGTGTAGCAGAGCCTCCTGTGTGCATGTTGGGAGCTGGGTGTGATGAACGCCTGCTCTAGCTGATGATGAGCAGACAGAGTGTGGAGAGAAAATAGAGATGAGCGGAGCCTGGGGCCCTGAGCACCTGTGACTGTGCCTGCCTGCCTGGCTGACTGACTGGCTGTCTGCATGCAGAACTGCGTCATCATCATTACAGCTATAACCAGCCTCGCCTGGGGCCCCACACACCACGGAACAGAACGACAGGAGAATCCCCTTCCCCATCTTCTCACCTATATCTCCCTCCCTCGCCCTCTTAGCGCCACTCCATTACTCTCAATATTCTCCATTCCTCTCTGTATCTCTCCCTCTCTCTCTGAGACATTTATGAACGATATAAGGCAGGGTATACATGCGAATTCTATGCAATGCTGTATAGTGTTCACACCTATCCAGTGAGCGAAGATAGCAACCTATCATGCCCTTGAGAAGTCTCCCTCCTCTCTCTTTTCCCCCCTTCTCATCCCATCTCCATGTCTTTCCAGTAGTGTGACGCCGTTAGCAACCAGCTCCCTTCCTCCTGGGCTGTATGAAGCTTTTAGCAGCTAACTCCACCATAGAGTAATGCAATGTGAGGAGAATGAAATATTATGCCACACCACTGCATAATTGCCTTGAAGCCCAAGGGAGCTCTTGCGGAAAAATGAGAGAAGCATGGAGCCTAATGGAGCTACCCGGTAGGGGATGGCAGAAATCCTGTTCTAGGTAAACTCTCACCCTCTTTGATCTCACAGTTAAAAGTCTTGAATCAACAGCAATAGGAAGGAAGGAAAGGGAGGAAGGAGAAATGTGGGATGGAGAGGTGGCTGCCGGAGGACTGAGGGAGGATGGGGGGGGGAGTAGTGTTTAGGGGTTTGGTGGGGAGTAAATCTTGCTTGAAGGACCCTTTAATTGGGAGCGTGTTGCCTTGGATAAACTGCCGAAGGGGTATTAAGACTCCCCACCAGGCCCATGAACAAGGCTTATGACTACTCTGTGTGTGGTTGGGAGGGGGCAGATGTTGAGGCTGGGAGGGGGGCTGCGGAAACCGGCAAGAGCCTTCTGACACGTTGCCTCAGTGCTATCCCAGCAGGACTGCATCCCTCCCTCCTCCCCTGCCTCTCCACCTCCCTCTCGCCTTCCTTCTTCCCCTCTCGCTCTTCATCCCTCCCTCCCTCCGCGTTGAGGCATGCTTTGTGAGCGGGGTGGGGTAACATCTGTCTGTGTAGATTACCATGATTAGCTTGATGGTGGAGCGGAGCTACAAGTTGTTACGCAGCTGGAGCATAGCTACCTCTGCCCTCTGACATCACTGCCTCCACTCAGGGTCAGGGGTCACCCACCACAACCCCCCTCCCCTTCTCCTCCCCGGATGTGAGAGTTCCTCTCCAGATGGCACTTCCTCCTGACCTCCTTCTGTCGGTCTGAGACCACTCTCACTACTAGGTAGTCCCAGAGTTGGCCTTTGACACCCTCCATTCACACAGTAGTAGACTGACTAGACT